GGGTAACTACACCAATATAATCAATTAATGGACTTAATGGTAAAGGAGATAACACAGGCATTGCTCAATGCTGGCACACCTTTTGGGGAATAATTGCACAGTCAAAATGTAAATATTCTTGTACAGGCCATTCTCATGTATTTAAAGTTCACCTCACCTTCAGCTGTTGGAGAAAAGCAGTTCAGCATCTTCAGAAACTTTATTTTGGGAGCCCTGCACAGTGAGCTAGTACCTTCCTTTGGCTAGAGTGTTGTAAATCCAGAGTTACCCACTGAAGTCAGCTGTAATGCCTGTAGCCAGAAATCAACTGTAAGGATGATAAACTCTGTTTTTAATTAATTTTCAAAACATAAAGTGAAGCCAAATGCTTTTTCTGAGCTGATGTCTGGGAGAGGGTTTGGAGGAGCACATGTAATAGGGAAGGAAGTTGGTTCCTTGACTTGCATGACCCCAGTGCAGTGGAGCAGCGTGACAGGGGCTTTGGTGGCAGCTCTAGACCTTGGCCATAACCAACACTCAGCAGTTAAGTATTTCAGTTAGTGTAGATAACTGAGCAAGGGAAAGTCTTGTTTGTGTTAAATCTCCCCTGTGCTCCGTTTGCAATTCAATCGTGCCGTGGGAACCAGGAAATGAAACCAACTAGAGACAAAGAAAAATTAATAGTGCACCATATGTTGCCTACGTCGAATCGCATACAATAAAAGTGAACAGACAGCACACGTGAGGAAGCGTAACCCAGGCGGCTGCGGGTGGGCTGATAACAGCCTCTGAGCAGGAGCAGAGCTGAAACAGTTAAATAAATCCAGTTTAAATAAGGCAGAGGACTTTAATCAAGAGGAACATGTCCCTTAAAAGATGTATATATGGAATTTTAAATAGGCAGTACGGTCTTCATTTGTAACCTGCCACAGAGCGACAGTTTTGGCGCTTGTTTTAATAATTAAGCCAAACTGCATGAATTGCTGAGAGGAAAATAAAAATAAAGAAAAAAATCACCAGGCAGAAGCCCTGTGGGGACTGGCTCTACACCCAAAAGGGCTCCCCAGGCACACGTGCCTGTGCTCAGGCTCAGCGGATGCTCTCCACACCCTGGGGATGCTGCCCCGTGAGCGCGGGCGACGCGGGATGTGCCGAAGCAGGCGATGAGCCGCGCTGCCGGGCAGCGGTGTCGAGCTCCGGGCACGGCAGGTGGGAATCCACCTCCCAACGGTGCCCCCGCAGACAGTGCCCGAGTCACTAATATTTCAAAAACCCACAGAGTCGCTTTTATCGTGTGGGTTGGAGAGGCTGCGTTGCAGTTTTTAATTAAAGAATAATTACAGTAGAACGACTGTATTGACAGGCTACATTTCTGAACACAAGTTGACTAGAAAAATTCCTTTGTTTGCATTTCTTGAGCCAGAGTCTTGGATTTATTACTAACGCTGGGCACAACTCAGAGTAAATTCATTCTGATCTCCTGTAAGGATGGTTAAGCTGAAGCTGTTAAGTCTTAACTTTTCCCAATTTGCTCCTTCAAAACACGGCCAAATAATAATTTTGCTGAAACCCCTCTTAAGTCTTTACCTTAAAAAAAAATATGAACTTGAACGAGAAGCAAAAATTCAAAGGGCTGAAAGCCAGTCACTAAACACACAGGCAGCGCTGCTGATCCCAGACAAACCAAAGCCATGGTGCTGTGGCAGCCCCCACGCCTCACATGCATTTCCTTGTCACCTTTTGGCTTTTAACCAGATTTACAGAACTGGAAATTAAATCAGCCCAGGAACAGTCAGCAAATGTATTTTTCCCAAAACAATCCCTTTTCAACCCAGCGAGGCTCCACAGGAAGAGGATGATGTGAAGAAATGTCTCTTAGTGCAACGATGGAGAAAGAACACGTGGCTGCAAACAGCCTGTGCCTCTCCTCCTCCTTTGCAGGAAGAAAGGTAGAAAACCAGAAGCACCTAATGCCCATCATTTCTTTTTTTAACGATCCCTCAGCAACTTGGAGGGCACAAATGAAACGCTGTTTTCTCACTCCAAAACCAGCAGGAGAACATCGGATTTGGACGTGGTGGTGGCACCGCCAAAGGCACGTCTGAACATTTGGAAGGAGGAGTTGACACATTTTCAACTATTACCCCTTCAAACAACAAATTCCCCATAAATTTTCCGGTTGCATTGGTAGGAATGCTCGTTATTCTCCCCAGGACTTCAAAGAGAGAAGCAAGCAGGCTAAGGCTTTCCCTCTAGCCCCCCCTCATGAGGCTACCAAACCCATATTAAATGATGGAAACACAACAGATAAGAAAAGCAAGACAGAGTTTTAGAACTAAAAAACCCACTGAAATGTTAAAATATTAGTACAGCGCTCTTTCTGCTAAATAGAAGCAGACTAAAGAATTCTTTAAAAGGAAAACTCTTTTTTGCTGAATATTTTCTGGGTTTAAAATTAGTGGAAGTCCCTTAGGGCAGCAAGTTAAACATTTTAAATTCTCCCCCCCCCC